GGACAATTTTAGGTATTATTAGGATATTTTTAGGCATTATTAGGATTCTGCAAGAACACTTCCCCAGGTTTGCAGGACCCATTAGGGTCTGGCTGCCAGATGGGTCATAGGAAGACGGGGCCAGTCCATGTGAGGTGGCCTCGCGCAACCTCGGCTTTCCCCATCGTAAACCGAGGGTGACCCTGTGGACAGCCTAACCTGGAAGGAAGGATCTCTTCTACCCCTGAGCTTCGCATGGAAGGAGTTTTCTCCTCCTTCAGGGGAGACCCTTGCCTTCCAGACGGACTTAAAAGGGCTCGTTCTGGAAGATAGAGTATAATTCGTCATTAATTGTCTTTTAGTTCATCAGTAGTTCGTGTTGAGAGTCTTGAATTGTAGTTTAGTTCGTTAGGAGTTCGTTAAGAATTATCAGTAGCAGTCTTTAGGAGATAGAGTTGAGGTGGAATTTTAGAAGCCAAAGTACTCTCCAGCGTAGTAGAGACTGTGTCACTCTATACAAATAAGGACATTTAAGGACTTTCTTTCTCCCTTTTTCTCTCCAATACCGAACGACACACATTCACATACCGGTCACGAATTATATTCGCAAGGATTCTTCAGGACTCACCCCTAGTGTTGCCAAGTATGTAGATAGAAATGCACACCAATATCTTCTACATTTTTTAATAGTTAACACATTAGTATTATTTAGATAATAATATTTAAATAATGAAAAATAACTCGCAATAAACTATTTTAATCAAAAATTTGATTCACACTTTCTGGAAAATTCTTCTCCCTCTCTCACTCACTCTTACACACATACACTTATTAACATACCCATGTTTCCTCTTTAACGATTCTCACATAATTGTTTTATACTAGCATATTCTTCTAAACATTTTTGCAAACATCATTCGTACTAGACTGCACTCGCACATATTATTCAACTTTATTCGTATTCACATATATACAACCAACACTCATACTTTATGTCCTTTGTTGAACTTCAAGACGTGTTTAACCAATCGCTAATTGCTTGACAAAATTCAGCTAATTCGCGATTCTATTTCCTGAAAATAGGATCCTATATCGGTTTGTTTTCCAAAAATAGGCTACACCATGAAAATGAAATTATTTGAATTTGGAATATATTATTCGAGGGTTACCTCTTCTTCACGCCACATTTACCGAAAACCGAGCTCCCGAGAGGATAAGCTATCTATAGTCGTGGAGACTCGTTACTTCCGGTCCAACCACTTGCCATTGTAGGTCTCTCGAAGGCCGTGCAGGAAGAGGGAAAAACGATTTTATCTGTGCGTGTGTATCTTTCGCAGATCGCGATGTCGTTGCGGAACCACAGAATTTGACATTACAGGTAGAACCGTCAGACCAGATATGTACACTCAAATACAGGTTTGAAAATCGTTTGAGAATCGGTTTTTCGTGGTTTTATTTATAGCTGGTCGATACGAGGACAGGCTATTTCTTTTTCTTTTTCTCTTCTGTCTGGATATGTATTTTTGGTAACATCGTGCATAGGTCGTGGTACTGATGGACTCTATAGTGATGAGATTGACTCGAAGAGTAATTGGAAATTAGATTTTCAAAGAATTTCATTTTCAGATTTATGATCGGAATTTTATTTGTCCATGAGAAAGAAGAGTTATGAATTAACCCAAAATTTATCCAGGTATTAATTAATCTAATATAGTGATATATTTATGATATGAGAAAAATTAAATAATTAAAATTCAAATATAGATACTTTAAAATTATGCAATCGTAAAAGATTAAAGAAAATTGTTTAAAAATTATTTTATAACATTAATTAATTATTGTATTGATAATACTATAATGATATATTTGTAATATGAGAGAAATTAAATAATAATTAAAATTCGAATATAGATATTTTTAAAGGTATGCAATCATAAAAGATTAAAGAAAATTTAAAAAAAATTGTTTTTAGTGTATCATAACTTTATTATGACAAATTCTTTCGATTATTATTATTTGATCGATAATAGAAGTAAATTAATTAATTTTCTAAATTATTTTATGGTGAAATAAATTTATAAATTAAATTTAATTTTAATTTATCCACAGTACCGAAAAATTTAATATTCCTCAAGATTATTTCGATTTTAATTAGTATTATTAGTAATTAATAATATTTATGTTTAAATTTGGCAACAATAGCAGTAAATTAATTAATTTTCTGAACTATTTTATGGTGAAAGAAATTTGTGTATCCTGAGTATGGAAAAATTTAATATTCCTCAAGATTATTTTGATTTTATTTATCATAGTTAATAATATTAATATTTAAATTTGGTAACAATAGCAGTAAATTAACTAATTTTCTGAACTATTTTATGGTGAAAGAAATTTGTGTATCCTGAGTATGGAAAAATTTAATATTCCTCAAGATTATTTTGATTTTATTTATCATAGTTAATAATATTAATATTTAAATTATTAAATATTATTAAATTAATGTATTAAATATTTTAATATTTAAGAAATTATTCGACATGAAGGCAGTGCAGAGAGACATTTTTGAATATGTACAGTTAAAAAATGTCGTATTTCTCGTCTTCTTTCTACGAGAAGGAGATCGGAAATTGAACGAGATGGAAGATTCGTGAAATATCACCAGGACATTCGTGGAAATTTCACAAAGTGCTTGCAAGAATATCCCGTTTGCATCGGGCTCGTACCTTAAATTCGTATAACATACTTACGTCGAGCTTATAGAATGTTCCGAGAGTACTTATGGGAAGCCTGGCTGCGAGTCGAAAGGGAACAATGGCGGACGCTCGACCCGGGAACTCGCTGAGCGAAAACTTTCAACTTTGTCGCAAAAGCGAACTCCATGTAAAAGCTGTCCTAGCTTTCTAAAGATTCTTTCAATTTTATCGTGCATCTAAGAGCATTGAAACAAGATCAAATCTTCCTTCAGAGGCAGTTTCACGTCCATTTCGCATCCATTCGACATTAATTACGGGACAATAGCTGTTCAAAATTGCGAACGCGCCTTTAAGTCCTTCGAACTTCGCGAAATTTCGAAACTACGGAAATTTGAGGGTGGTGCTTTTATTTCGAACTTTGAAACGAAATTTTTGCACAAACTTTTATCGACTATAGTCAAACAATGTGTTATATTTCTATCCTTTTAATATTTATATTTAAATTTCGAGAAATATGGAATTCGAATTCTGGAAATTTGAAATTTTCTGTCCCTATATAGAAATGTATTAACTTTTATTTAAACAATTTTTATTTAGGCAACAATTGAACAGTGGGAATATTGAAACTCTAAAAGTGACAATTTTCCAAAAAAATTATGTTTATGTTGGCCTAAATTGGGCTAAATGTCCTATTTCGTTAAAGTGTAAAAATCATTTCATCATTAATTCATAGAATTATGAAATATTCCACCAAATATGTCATAATAAATTTTATTATAATTTAATAACAATTGACATTTCGAAAGACAAAGAGTAATCGTTCTTTTGACATTTTCAGTCTTTTAATAACATTTCTACTGTTGAATTATATAATTTCTTTTTTCCAATTTCAATATTTTAATTTTAAAATTAAATCGTGCTTAATGAGACATTTATTTTCGTTATTTCTTCCCGACACGATTTCTTTCGAAAATTTATTATACGAAATGTTACTGTTTGTTGGTGTAGAAACTTGTTCCATGGCCTGTGCATGCACTAGATACACGAACACACATGTGCTTGCGTCTGCAATATATCTACGATCTATAGTTTTCGCTGCATCCACGCTTTTGGAATGGCGCTGGCCGCCATTAACTCCGCAGCGCCATCTGCGCCGTCGAGCCGCCATTTTGGTTCTATTCGCGACAGAAGCATCTTTCAAAAGCGAGCAGAAGCGTGTCTATCTGATCAAATCGATTCTCAGACACGCTTCAGCTCCAATTTTCGCTTTGAGTTTGCAATCGTGTTGTGAGTTACAACGTGAAATGTATCGTAGAAGTATCGTTTGCTGAATAAGTAAGCAACGTTGATCGCACCGAAAGTGCAAGTTGGTGGAAACGAAGATTCATCGATTTGCAGATTTTTATTTGGAATGTTTTCCCTTTCTTTTTCAGAATAATTAGTTTCTTATTGAAAAATTCTTTTTCGCACAAAGTTTGTTAATATTGTGTGAAATCTTAAAACAGTTGAGAGATGAAGGCAAGTTTTAGAATCTTAAAATGTGGCAATGTAAAATATCTTTTCGGGGAATAAGTCAAAAATAATTTTTATAAATGGTCAACAATTTTGGATTTTTACTTCTTAAAAATTTTATCCACGATTTTTAAATATTTAATTAAAAATTGTTGTTTACCAATTTTATTTGCAATTTAAGAAATTCTTCGTATAATTTCATATTATATTATACCTATATTACAATATATATTATATTATATCATTTCGTTATAAATTTTATTATTATTAATACTTCGTTATTAATATTAATTTTGTATTAAATGCAACTATCTCAGAAGCTTCGATGTTGAAATATAATTATTTTAATAATTATAACATGTCTGAGAAGATATGAAAATTATTAACAATCAATCGGAAGAAATTAATATTCCAAATTTACAAATTTTTGATCGAAAAACGACAAAAAGATAAACAAGATGGAATATTTACTAATACGAATTCCATCAACGTCTAGCAAAAACTTTCAGTAGTATGTTAAACGCAGTAGTTTGCTCGAAAATGAACTCGATTACGTTCTGTCTTCGATCCTCTCTCCTGATCATGGGGGAGCGCGTTTCGTGACTTGTGAAGCATGAAAATGATCCTAGAAAATCCACGTAGAGGGTAGCGAAGAAAACCACGACCTCGATCGAGTGTCACTTCACGAACGCTCTGTTGGCATGGCCTGGATTCACGTAAACTCCATCGTTCAGTCGTTGCACTCTTTGGCATCGAGTTAAAGTACCATTTTCACCGGTCCACGTGTCTAATCTACGATGTTTCCATTCCAGGACCATGACAGCGGTCTGTTTCGTGTGCAACCTGCCTATCTTGAGCCACCAGGCCGGACTGACATGGCAAGAAGGAAATGGCTGGGACGATCTTGTGCGAGAGCAGGAGGAGGAGTCCATTTTGAGGCAGCATTTTGGTATTCATTTTGTAATTCATTAATTACACAATTATTTTAATTACGTATTAGGGTACTTATTTATTTTCGTTCTATCATTTACTGTACTTTATTTTATTTGTATTTATATTAATTGTTTTTTAATATATGTCTACTTAGGTAAATTATTTTTTAATATATGTAGGATTGGAGTGAGTACGGCCCTGAAAGAATATCAAGAGTGTTTTGACTTAGAACGAAAGTGACCACGTGCAAGAGGATTGACTGCAAAGAATATTTATGGTAGAGTGGAGTGAAAGTTTAGGGTTGCATCTAGAGTGGTTGAAGTACCTGAATATTCCCTATAATTGAGGAAGAAAGCCTGAGTATGGAAGAGGACATAATGAATGGTTTAACCTCTTGCACTATTTTCACGAGTCTGACTCGTGATGAAAATTTTAGGCCAAACTTGAATATCACGAGTCACACTCGTTGTTTAATTTCATGCCAAATGTGGATGTCACGAGTCTGACTCGTGATTCACAATTTGGGTCAAACGTGGATATCACGAGTCTGACTCGTGGTCGACATTTCGGGCCAAGCATGAATATCTCGAGTCTGACTCGTGGTATTAATCTCGGTCCAAGTATGAATATCTCGAATGGGCTCGTGGCTATCTCTCACTCAGTCATAAGATATCTTGTTTCAAATTTCATTTGCACATGGGTTTGGCACGACTTTTTTCGAGTTTCAACGTTGTGCAAGGGGTTAAATAAGGGTGCAAGAGCATGAGAGGACAGTGTGCAGAGACAGTCTATCAGTTTCAGTTTAGAGTGTCAGTTTATGAAAGTCAGTTGTAAGAGTCAGCTTCAAAAAAGATGAGAAAAGTGTTCCCTCAGCGAATCTCTCTTATTTCATAGTCAGTCACAGTCATGCTATATATAACTTTATTTTATTCCATTAATAAGTCAACAATACTATCTTAAGTCAGTCCACCCAAAAACGATTTCTACATGTATGTATGTTCATCTAAATTATTTTTAAATACAAATATATTTATGTGAATTATCGTTTAATGTATTTATTTGTATTTATGTAAATTATTTTTGAATATATTTTTATTTGTATGAATTATATTATATCATTTATTTCATTTATATTTATATATATTATATTATTTGTACTTATATGAAATATATTATATTGTTTATATTCATATATATTATATTATTTGTATTATTTATACTATTTCATTCATATTTCTCTTTTCTACCTCACTTTATGGCAAAAATTTCTAAGCCAGATTTTCTTTTTTAAATGAAACCACAAATATATATTTTCATAATGTAACGACCTATCACATAAGACAATTTAAACCAATTGAGACATTTGTTTGAAAAGAGACATACACGTAAAATTCTATTGGATTGCAATGGCTATAGCAAACCAATAGAATTTTTCCTCCTTATTTATGTAGAAAAGTTTGCTCACCACGATATTAGTCGAAAATGTCAATAAAATTGAACTTTTTAATCAAATTCTATTGGATTGCAATGGCTATAGCAAACCAATAGAATTTTTCCTCCTTATTTATGCAGAACCACATCTCCAATTTAATCAAAACTATTGCAATTAAAGTTTCATTTCTTTCGAGGCTGTAATAACAGCTTCTTCATATTTTCTTCTAAAATCCAAGCTTACAATCTCAAAATATTCATGTACCCTTTTTCCACCAGTGGTGTAAATATCCCTAAAAACACCCAATAGAGTTTAACCCTTTACACTCGAGAGGTGACTCTCAGTCACCATTTAATCAGATTCTAAAATCGACGTTAATTAATATATCAAATCTAAAATTACCTAACGATGTATGCAGTGTCGAAGAAAAATAATTCTACGTCTTAATTTGCATATAATTTCTCATTTACCATTTTAAAAATATCGTCGACTCTATGACAGAAAGTCTTCGAATTACTATTTTTCTGTGACGAAAAAGTCGTCGAGTGCAAAGGGTTAATACAGATCAGCGTGTCACTATGACTCAAATCATATGACTAATAATAATCATGCGACTAAAATTTATAATACTCTACAACCTTCATCCCCCTCATCCCTAGCAATCTTCACAATTGATCTAACCTTGTACACAAGAATAAAAATTCTAAAACAAAATCCAAGAAATAAAATACAATCGTCCCTCTCGTGTCCCTCCTCTCCCAGGGACAGGAAGACGCGACTCAGCGACACAGATCACATCGGTATCACCGCCGAACGAGTTGCATCACTCGACTGCACCGAATCAGCGTCGTCGACGATCCAGTTTAGCCCAGCTGACGGACATCCTGCGGGAATGGAGCGGTGGTGGCGGTTCCGGGAAAAGCGACCGCGGGAACAAGCTGCACCGTCGCGAGACCCTGGCTGACATCATGAAGTCCTCGCCGTGGTCCAGACAGACGACCACGGACGCCAGTCACTTGGAAAGGCTGCGGAAGAGACGGGAGAGCTCGGTGGACGGCGGGATCAGGAACCAGGCGTCCACGAAGTCGAGGAAAGAGTCGACGATCAGCGAGCTGAAGAACGACTTCGCTAGGCTCTGGGGCAAGAAAGAGACCCCTCAGCCGCCTCCTGTGGTCACCTCGCCTACTTATAAAGGTTCGTGCTGACAATTGCATTGCTCTGATCCTCTAGAAAGCGATATTTCATCGTCAGTTGAGAGAATTGCGGAGCTTAACGCTAGAACTACCGATCTCTACTGGTCTAAACATAGTAGGTATAGATAATAGTAATTTCAACGATAGGATGAAGATAAGTGAATGTATTATATTTAGGATCCTATTAGGAGGGGTCGATTAGAATAATATCGTTGCAATTAATAAAATGAAAATAAGATTTATTAATGTGGGATGATATTTTTAGAGAAATAAACTAAAAACAGGTCAATGATCTATGAAGACTATTATTCTAGAAAGCAAATGGAGAATCAACCAATTTCGTTATAAAAGGGTATTTTTAGAGGCAAAATTGCCGATAGATGTCCAATGAGTACGTCGTTGGATAAATTTAACCCTATTGAAAGATTGACAGCTCTATTCTCCGAACTTCGGTGGGAGACACTTCTCTTTATAGTCAACAGCCGATTGTTATTTTGCTCAAATATTCTGGAAGGTGCTGGATTACTCGTCCCTGAAGTTATGATCTGCTCCTTTTACTTGCAATTAGCCGAATACCGGGTAGATATGAAAATCTCGTAGCAATATACAATTTCCAAACATTCCATTATATATAGTATCCCTGTATAAGGCGGAGCCTGCTACTATGCGTGGCTGAAAAGAAGTCAGCTGAGAAACTCGTAGGACCGAATCCCCACCGACCCAACCATTCTAACGTCATGACAGAAGTAGAGTAAAACGCTTCTCTTATTGGCAGAACTGATCCCTTCCTATTAGCCCGGGCATAGAACACCACGTGACAAAGAAAGCGAACGAAGCAGCGAGACAAAGTGAGACAGACGCAACAAATAGATTTTTTTTAAACGGTTATCTAGTACGATGCAATTGCATAATTAATTTATCGTAAAAAATACATCTTAAATTTTAAATCAATTTTCGTAAATGATGTTAATTATTATTACTTTTGTACTCCTTTACCTTATAAATCTTCCGAGCTATTGTCATCCGATTCCTTATCCGACTCACTGCTTTGTATTTCCAATCCTCGGTCTTCGATTGCGTCTTCTATTATTCGAGTGTCAGAATTTTACGAATATCTTACGCCTATGTTAACGTGTCACGTTGCTGAACTTGGTGGTAGTAGTTTTGGGAGTGTCATAGAAGAGTAGGTATTACTAGTGGAATACCCTTCTTGCCCCGCAACCGAACGAGATGACTTCTTTTCAGCCACGCATAGTACATTCGTGCCATTACTCGGCCTCACCCACTCGCATTCACGCTAATAATATCAAATCCACATGAGTAACTAGGAAAGTTCTGAGACCAGCCTTTTTTACTGGATTGGTAGGTCTAGTGTTAATGGTGAATATTAATAAATATTTGTTGGAATTAAATATCGAAAAATCGGCGTTTGTGAAATTGCAAAATGAAAATCTTGCCTCTGTTGTGTACACTGGTAGAATAATTGAACAACGGAGCCAAATTATTGGTTATTACTCAATAACGCGATTATTCGATATGCACGGTATATTGCCATAATGATGCGCGATAATCTTAACGAAATGAAATTATAATCGATCGGAAATAGATCTGATTATTTTGGTATTACTGTCAATACGAATGTCGATATAAATTGTAGCGGGATATTATTTCATTGTTTTTGTATCTCGTTTAGAAAATTGTTCTTGGTTTTGAAAAGAGTAGGAGTGTAGAGTTATTGAGACTGAAATTGATTATACTTTTTATTTTTTGAATTATGAATATACGAGGTAGTTTTGTAAACACGTTTCGGGAATTGGTTTCCGTAATATCTCAAATTCCACTGGATTAATTTCAGTCAAATTACGTTAGTATTTTATTAAAATTATTCATTTCCTACGTTTTATTGCAATTATTCGTTAACTAAATTTTGTTAAAATTATTCATTGAAAAAGTTTTGTTGAAATTATTCATCGACCGGATTTCATTAAAATTATCCAAGTATTAAGGTTTATTTAAACTTTTACTGTACTAAATTTTATTGAAAAAATTCGTTTTCTACGTTTTATTAAAATTATTCATTGCTTAAGTTTTATTTATGTTATTCGTCGACCAAATTTTGGTAAAATTATTCATTGACTAAATTTTGTTAAAATTATTCAGTCACCAAATTTTAATAATATTATTCACTGACTATATTTTATTATAAATATTCACGTGCTAAGTTTTATTAAAATTATTCATTGACTAAATTTTGTTAAAATTATTCATTCACTATATTTTGTTAAGATTATTCATTCGCCAAACTTTATTAAAATTATTCATTGACTACATTTTGTTATAATTATTAATTCATCAAATTATAATAATATTATTCATTCCTTAAAGTTTGTTAAAATTATTCATTCGCCAAATTTTAATATTATTCATTCACTATATTTTATTATAAATATTCACATGCTAAGTTTTATTAAAATTATTTATCGTCCAAATTTTATTGAAATTATTCATTGACTATATTTTATTAAAATTATTCACCAACAAAATTTTATTAAAATTATTCATCAACAAAATTTTATTAAAATTATTCATTGACTAAGTTTTGTTAAAATTATTCACCGACCAAATTTTATTAAAATTATTCATTGACTAAGTTTTGTTAAAATTATTCACTCTCTAAAGTTTAATAATATTTATTCACTATATTTTAATAATACTATTCATTGACTAAGTTTTGTTAAAATTATTCATTCTCTAAATTTTAATAATAATATTCATTCGCTAAATTTTGTTAAAATTATTCATGCAGCAAATTTTATTAATATTATTCATTGAGTATATTTTATTATGAATATTCACGTGCTAAGTTTTATTAAAATTATTTATCGACCAAGGTTTATTAAAATTATTCATCGACTATATTTTATTAAAATTATTCACCGACCAAATTTTATTAAAATTACTTCTAGCTTAAATTTTATTTAAATTATTCATCGGCTAATATTTTATCCAAATTCTTCCTTGACTGATGCATACTCTCCCATTTTTTAATATCCCACAGGCTCCAGCGACTCGAGGAGCTCCCGACGCGGTTCCAGTGAGAGCGCGAGGACCAAAAGCCAGGGCGAGCGGAAGCATAATTGCAGTCATCACAGACGCAGACAGTCGCAGCAGTCGATGGACAGCGGCAGTAGCGTGATACAAGCGAAATATTACAGGAGCGATCAAAGACCGAGCGCTTCCAGCACTGATAGCGCGGCCAGCAATGCTGCCAGGTACATAATAGTGGCCTAACAATCGGATTCGTGTCCTCTGCTTCCGATTGTCACGCGTAAACGCGTGCCCGTCTTTGACGAGGCAATTTCTCCAGCACGGAATTTAATTACCACGTTGCAGTTCCTGTGGCCTAAGGGAAACTATTAGCTTTGGACTGTCTCTGTCAGGGTTGGGTGTATAGTTGGATCGAGTTGATTTAGGGTGTGGATTACTCCATTCACTGTCGTTTTATTGTTACTCGAAGAAGGAGCAGAGGCTGTAATATGTTACTGGTTCCTGGAAAGTGGGAGTAGGAGATTTGTTAATTTTTATGAGGTTTTAATTCATTAATTTCTTTCACTTTTATTATGGTTATGTTATCAAATTTTGGTAGTATAGTATTACAGTATTATGTCATTTTGTATTAGAGAATAAGAACAAGTTTATTTTAGTGAGAAATTTGTTATTAATATTCTGTGAATTTTTAATTTATGAAATGCTTTAGTTTGATATGGTTTTGCTATTGTATTCTATGTAATTATATATTATTTTGTTAGTGTATGAATAAGTTTGTTTTTAATTATTTTAGATTTGATGTTGTTTTATGAAGTTTTAAGTGATGAAATGATTTTGTTTGATATGGTTTTGTTATTGTATTTTATGTAATTGTGTATTATTTTCTGAGTGTTAATTTATTAACACTAGAACTACCTAATGCTAGAATTTACCATTTTAATTGTATCACCTTTTACATATATTATATATGGATTTAGATAGTATCATTGCATATGGGTAATTCTAGTGTCAAATACTTTATTTTTGTATGATTTTGTTATTATATCAAAATGGAGGATGTAATAATGTGTTGTTATTGTTTGTTTGAGAGTGAGAATAAATTTTTTTTAATTTGAAAATGTGAGTATGAATCATTTTAATATTTTAGTAAGAAAGTATAATAATATGTCAAAGTTTGTTTGGAATTAAAAATAAGGCCAGTGTTGCATGGAATATTTAATTCTTTTATGAAAAGAGTATGGCTTATTTTGACTCAAAATTCCAAATTCCAAAGTGTGAAGAAGAATTCTTCATTATTTTAGGATTAATAAATTCCTTAATATTTCCTGTTCATTTATCACACATAGATTTTGATCATGTCAAAATAATTCATAAGATTCAAAGCTCCTAACATTTTCTAACAATTCCATTTTACAAATTTCATAAAATCTTCCTTTGCACTCTATCCTGTCAAACTTGCAGTTCGACCTAGTTACTCGAGACACCTCATATTTTATGCAACTTCAGCCAACTCCAAACAAACACAGCCATCCCTCTCCTCGTCACCAAACTTCCCAAAAACCGCGTAAATCTATCACAAACAGCGCACATTCTCCCACCTTTGAAACCCAAATGACCAATTACCAATATATTTCCATCTCAACAAACAAAACTCGACCAATGCATCATCAAATCATATATCACTTTATATAACCAAATTTCCTAATTCACTATAACTTGGACCACCTCTACCTCTATTTGGCATTATTCAATTTACCTATTCACAGGTGAATACTACATTCAGAAAAATCCATTAAAATATCATATGGGTTAATAAAAACAAGTCTAATGGGACGACACAGGTGTAAAGAATATACTCAGTTCTTTTCACTATGATTCTTAGACAGAAATTAACTGTAAGAGAGCAAGTGTACTACTTGTTTATGGATTTTGGTATCAGAGCTATAGTAAATGACACAAGGAAAAGACTGTGACATTAGGTTGCAGGATATAATTATACACAACATTTTTTCTTCTCACTTAAGAGGTGTCATACCAAAATCTTTCCTTACTTGCTATACTAATCCTGTTGTTAATAAATACATTTCTATTATAAAGGAATTTCAATAGCCATAGTAAATGATATAAGGAAAAGGCTGTGACATTAGGTTTCAAGATGTAATTATACACACCATTTATTCTTAGCACCTAGGAGGTGTCACACCAAAATCTTTCCTTACCCTCTATACTAATCCTGTTGTCAATAAAAATATTTGTATTATAATGGAATTTCAAGAGCCATAGTAAATGATATAAGGAAAAGGCTGTGACATTAGGTTTCAAAATGTAATTATACACACCATTTATTCTTAGCACCTAGGAGGTGTCACACCAAAATCTTTCCTTACCCTTTATACTAATCCTGTTGTCAATAAAAATATTTTTATTATAATGGAATTTCAAGAGCCATAGTAAATGATATAAGGAAAAGGCTGTGACATTAGGTTTCAAAATGTAATTATACACACCATTTATTCTTAGCACCTAGGAGGTGTCACACCAAAATCTTTCCTTACCCTCTATACTAATCCTGTTGTCAATAAAAATATTTTTATTATAATAGAATTTCAAGAGCCATAGTAAATGATATAAGGAAAAGGCTGTGACATTAGGTTGCAGGATATAACTATATACACCATTTGTTCTTAGCAGCTAGGAGGTGTCACACCAAAACCTTTCCTTACTTGCTATACTAATCCTGTTGTTAATAATTACATTTTTGTTATAAAGGAATTTCAAGGATCATAATAAATGACATAAGGAAAAGGCTGTGACATTAGGTTGCAGGATATAACTACATACACCATTTGTTCTTAACAGCTAAGAGGTGTCACACCAAAACCTTTCCTCACTGTTGTCAATAAAAATATTTTTATTACCAAAAAATCTCAATGCCCTAATGAACGAATTTCTCACCAGGGAGTACATGGAAGCCCGCAACTCGATGGACAGAAGTGACCGGTCGAGCAGCATCGAGGGTAAGGCACCCGTGACGAAAAGCAGCGAGTCAAAAACGTCCATCACCACCACCACTACAGTGTCTTCGTCGACCACCGTGGTGACCACGTCGTCGTCCCTGTCCGTAGACCCGAAATCCTTCACAGAGAGCAAGACTCTGACCCTCGACGCGACCGCCACGCCACCTACAATCGTCATGTCGTCGGTCACCCCGCCAGGCATCTCTCTGACCGTTGGCAGCAGCCTTCCGCTACCTGGAACTTCCACTTCCGGTAGCTCCAGTCCCGTTGGCTCACCCAACGTCAGCACACCGACACCACCTTTGCTCACCTCCAGGAGGAACTCGACTACACAGGTGAGACATCTGAGAGCCCAGGTCGAGTCAAGGAGAAGGAGAGCTGGTGGTCAGGGTTTAACCTTCGAGTGGTGACTGATATTTTCATAGCACTGATGATAACTTTACGTCAGATTCGCTCTCTGTCGATAACGGTGACTCCACGTCAAATTCACTGCCTGTCAATAGTGGTGACCTTGAGTCAAATTGACTTCGAGTCGTTTGTTGCAACGTGACGTCAGTTTCTTGTAGTCTTAGACACCTACATTTTGTAAGTAAACTACTAGATACTTGGTTCTCACCACTGATGATACGACGTCAAATTTACTCGCTGTCAACAGTGGTGACTTCAAGTCTAGTTGACTTTGTATCGCTTGTAGTGATATAACGTCAATTTTACGTGTCTTTAGATACCTAAATCTTGCAAGTAGACTACTGGATATTTGGATCTCACCACTGATGATACGTCAAATTCACCGCCTGTCAATAGTCGTGACCCCGAGTCAAATTGACTTCGAGTCGTTTGTAGCAACGTGACGTCAGTTTCTTGTAGTCTTAGACACCTAGATCTTGCAAGTAGACTACTGCATACTAGGATTTCACCACTGATGATACGACGTCAAATTTGCTGGCTGTCAACAGTGGTGACTCAAGTCAAATGGACTTTGCATCGTTTGTAGCGACATGACATCAATTTCACGTGGTCTTAGATACCTAGATACCTAGATATACTTAGATATACCTAGATACCTTGACAATCTGATGTCAAGTCACCTCTAAATATTCAGAGTTAATTTGACTTCAAGTCACTGCTATTGTAGCGATACGGAGACAATCTGACGTGCATCACCAGTAGTGTTTAGAGTCAATTTGATTTACATTACCACTCTAAGGTTAATATTTTTGAGATATTCTGTTGTGCAACAGAGAGCAGGCCTAAATAGTCGAGAGTCAATTGTATTGTAATTAGGAGAGTCAATTGTGTCTGCAGGCAGCTTGTTAGGGTTATTGGTTGTGGATTCGTTAGGTGTCCAGTGTTGAATGATGAGTAGGGGTAATAAGTTAGCAGAAAATTTTTGAGCTTTAATAGGTGGTTCTTCTTGTATATTTGTAAGAGTTGGAAAGTGATTGATCAGTGTTTCTTTGAGGATTCTTTTGTTTTTATGGTATCATTCTTGGAAGAAATAGGATTCCATTGCAAAGTGAAGAAAAATGATAATAAGAGGAAGTGGAGCAGGATTGTTTGACAGATATAGTCAAATTTTCAAAAAATATAGTCTTCTGTTTAGAAGATATTTTGTTTTTGTCTATTTTGTTCATTATACAGTGTGTGTAACTGTGTTGAACGACAGTGAGAAATAATAAAGTGATAGAAAATTTTGAAATTTAAATCTGGGAAAGTTTAGGAAGATTTACCATTTTTTTAAAAAGAAATATTTATTAAAATTGAGAATAATTAGTCAAGATTTGCTGTACTTATTTAATACAGAGTGCTTCTCATATAGAGAGAAAATAATTTCAACTTATCAATGTACCATAAAGAAATTTCCATGGCGTTGGATTATAATAATGAACCAAAACAAAATTGTTGCAGTAGATTTTTGGAAAATGAAATTTCTCAGCCTAGCTAAAGAAATAAAAATTACATATTTTGAATAAGATCCAAAATATAATTTTATCACACCTTTAATATACTAATACACTATTATTAAAAGTAAATATTATTAAATACTTTTAATTAAATATAATTAAATACTTTAGTAATATTTATTTACTAATATTATTAAAAATATTATTAAAAGTAAAGAAATTAAAATTACTATATTTAATAACAAAATATATTAAAATTAGGTGAAATACCTCAAAGAAAGTTCATTCCAAATTTACACTGAAACAAAAAATGATTAATTTAATGAGACAATAATTTGAATTTATTAATATTCGTTAAATTTAGATATTCATAGTAGATATGATGCATAATATAAGGTACGAGATTTAAAATACCTACGAAAGTATTAAATCGATACAAGGAATGGATCGTCACAGCGAGCTAGTAGTAGCACACGTGATTAGTCAGACACGAGGTAGAAGTAGTAGATATATGCGGAAACGTTCTACCATTGAGTCTTCGGTTCTGTTTACAGTGTTATCAGAAGGGGAAAGAGGCCTCCCCAAACAAGATGTCGAGATTAATACGACAATCTGCTGCCATAGATGAGTCAATGCCACCAGCTCGACGACGCGGAAGTCAGCCGACTCTGTCACCGGATACTGACGAAGGAGGTACAATCATTAACATCCACCATTATCGACCACTTTCATCCTTGTCGCAAAATGAAATTATCGATGTAACTCTATATATAAATACACGTATCTTTCTCCTAATTACAGTCTTTTAACGAACACTACCTATGTCTTCGAGCATGATATCTCATATTCCATATGTGACATGTGACAGCACATTCTGTAATTCTCTGTCTTCCTTCAGACCAATGTGATGTATGTAAATTTTATGTTCTCTTCCTTGACGATGTATCATAGATTAACTGGAGGTTACATTTACTCTTATAAATTTGAGATGTGTAAGTGGAAAATTGGTGTAATAGAATTTTAATATTCGAAGATATGAGAATTTGGAAATTTGAAAGGTTTGATATTTGGGAATTTTTTAATTTTGATGTTTAAAAATTTGAAACTCGATATTTGGGAATTTAGGAAATATGATATTTAAAAATTTGAAAACATTGGTATTTGGAAGTTTAGAAATCTGTTATTTAAAAATTTGAAGATTTTTGTATTTGGGAGTTTGAAAATTTTTCTATCTGGAAGTTTGAAAATTTTGGTATTTGGAAATGTGAGAATTTTGATGTTTGAAAGTATCACACTTTTGATATTTGGAAGTTTAATAATTTTAATATTTGGAAATTTCTGAATTCTGATATTTGGAAGATTGAAAATTTTTATATTTAAAAATTTTAAACTCGATACTTGGGAATTTAGGAATTTTGATATTTGGAAGATTGAAAATTTTTATATTTAAAAATTTTAAACTCGATATTTGGGAATTTAGGAATTCTGATATCTAAAAATTTGAAAATTTCTATATTTGTGAGTTTAGAAATATTTATATTTAAAACTTTGAAAATTTCTATATTTGTAAGTTTAGAAACTTTTATATTTAAAAATTCAAAGATTTCTATATTAGAAGTTTGAAAATTTTTATATTTAGAAGTTTGAAAAATTCATTTTGAAAATTCAAATACCAGGAAATTTGCAATCAAAAAATATTTCTCCTGTTTTACCAAAATATATCATTTTAGTGCTACTCAAAGGACACTATAAATCCCATATATTCTCATTTTTCTCGAGTCATATTCACATGTACAGAACACAAAGAAACAGAAGAAAAATCGAATTATTCTTCCCTCACTTTCCACTGTCGATAATTTCCACGATTTGTATCCTCCTCGTTCACAAAATTTTTCTTCTCTCTACATTCTTCTTCTTCCTGTATTCCCGACGTAGAGTAAAATATTGTGATATAAGAATTAATAATGTGAGGGAATTTTTTGGTGGATGTTCGAAGGACGAAGAGCTCGGAAAGATTCGCTGAGCCCAGATTCCGCTTCGTACCCACGACGCCGTGACTCGAAGAGCCATCTGAGTCCGGACAGGGCAGTCGATAAAAGGGATATCAGTCCTATCAGAGAGAGATCTCAGCTGACACGGCAGTCAATGTCGATGGCCGGTCGGTCGCCACCCAGGTACCTGCATTCTATCGATTTTCACGTCACTGTGACTGTTGGTAACGTGACTCCATCGATAGGGAATTTTTTCACAAATTTCCCAATTTATAAATAAATTTTTAACTTTCAATTTTCAAAAAATTATATTTCACCGTCTTTTTTAAATTATTTCATTTCTTTTTTGGTACATATAGGACTGAGATTAATTGTCATTAGTCATTATTATTGACTTCCTGTTGAAGTATAGATAAAATAATTTTGTAGCATTATTAATATTATTTTCCAATTTATAAATAAATTTTCAACTTTCAATTTTCAAAAGATTCCACTGTCTTTAAAAAATTTTTTTTTTAATTATTTCATTTTCTTTTTGGTGCATATAGGGCTGAGATTAATTGTCATTGGTCATTATTATGGACTTCCTGTTCAAGTATAGATAAAATAATTTTGTAGTATTATTAATATTATTTTGCAATTTATAAATAAATTTTCAACTTTCAATTTTCAAAAAATTACATTTCACAGTCTTTTTTAAATTATTTTCTTTTTTAATTATTCCATTTCTTTTTTGGTGCATATAGGGCTGAAATTAATTGTCATCAGTCATTATTATGAACTTCCTGTTCAAGTATAGATAAAATAATTTTGTAGTATTATTAATATTATTCAACAACTGTAAATAATAATATTTCTCTGGTATTAATTAAAGATAATTTCTTTTAATAAATTCTGAAAGTTAAGAAAATAGAAAAGCAGAATTTTATGTATTATGGGTAAATAATAATACAATTTATAAATTGGATATGCTATTAACATAATTTTTATATACATATTAATAATTTCGTTTTAATTTACTCGTTTCCCCAACCAAAAAATATTTTTGTATCGTTATTAATTAAATATAACACAAAAGAGTATAAAAAATAGAAAAATCATTATGTCATGGGAAAAATGTAAAATTGTAGAGTACAGAAATATAAAAATTATGATTGTAAACAAATGTGTATAACATTTTTAGAGAGTAATATAATTACATGAAACGAAATTTCTCATTGCAGGTCACCAGATAGCTCTTCCTGTTCGTCGAGAGACCCAAGTCCCTGTGCTCGTGCACCAAGAGGTATGCCACATGCTCCCATGGCGAGAAGACACTCGACGACAAAGGAGATCCTCATGAGTCGTGGCTTTCGACGACAAAGCACCATAGAGGAGACGATAAATCGTCGAAACTTTCGCAGACGAAGCTCTCAAGGCGAAAGGGTCGGTTTCTCGCGTATATTCAAGGGTTCATACTTAAATTAGAAATTTTATTAAACAGTAAAATATTTAAATTCCCTTTTCCCTTTAAAAATTCGCGACGTTTTAATCAATCTTGATACATCACTTTTCCTAATCGATTTTCTTCCTGTTCATTAGGTTCAAAGATATCAAGGACGAAGGGATAGCTCGACTCAAATTACCGACGGGACATTCGCCACGATGTCAGTCGAGACATCGAACACCTTTTTTGACAGCAGCACGCAGACTGGTAAGTGATAAAATTTCATGAACATTTATCGGATTGGATTTATAGCAATTGGAGGTTCTGCGGTGAGAAAATTTGGAAATATCCACAAATTTG